AGTTCTTTTCAATAAGCTGTATTAAAGCGCTGTACCATTTATGAACATATTACTACAGTCCTGATATTTCCTGATGGTCTTTAATTCAGAACTAATCAAGTCCAACTCTGCTTAGCTTTTCCAGATTGGCCAAAGTTGGGTAATTGCTGCCATCTGCAGAATTGGACCTGGTTAGTTTTGAATAATTACCATAATCTCTATCCATTGTTCATGCTGCCTGAAGGTTATAGAAAATTGGCTGCAAAACATTCAGGACACCAGGTTTCCAATTCCTATTTTAAAGCAGAGTGTTTATTAGGTTTAAATGCAAAGGGGAACTGAACTTCTTGGGAAAGCAGATTTTCAGTAAAAGGAGACCAAAAGCAGACCTACAGTTTGTCTCTGAAGAGGTCTCCAAACAGATTCATTGATTTACAGCTCTCCTAATTCCCAGTAAGGACATTGGTTGCACTAGCTGGGAATTAATAGTGTAAGAATATCTGGCCAGGACGGGGAGCAGCTGCTGCAAGACAAGTATATTTCGGCATGAATTTTCCTTGGCTAGAGCCTCTTTCACCAAATCCTTTTTATCAGTTCGCCGTTTTACCATTAGCCATTCAACCAGATTGAGTACTTAAAAGATCTGCATCCTCTGAAACGCAGACCCTTAAGCATGGATGGATGGATTGGTTTAAATGTTTCTCTGTATTGATAAGCTATGATAGATATTTTCTAAATTAGTTAAATTTGTACCAACATAGTGACCAAATTCACATAATTTTGAATTGACGTATAATTCTGTAACATGGAAACAGGATGTAAGCTAATTACTGTCATCCAAGCATCCAGGGAACCAAAAGATTCCCCTTTATTGACTCCTAAAAGAGAATTCCTTTTGGTTTTGAAATGTTATATGAATTATACTGCAAGTTAATGAGAGCATCCACTCTGCTCGTTTTTATACGAATGTTATATTTTAAGGCATTGCATTTTTGTGCACTCAATTCACAGGAAATCATGATGAATTATTTCCTGTGGATTTTTCCCAATGTTAGTTGCAAGGCATAGGCAGTGACCCGTTGGGGTTTTCTCAGTAAATTAGCCAATGTGGGAAGTACACTGTTAGGTTCTCCTGTGTTGTCATTCTTCTAAATCTATGCTCGTGTTGCCTTATTTGGCAAAACCATACTTCTGTGCCAGTATAGCCATTTAATTTGTGGTAAAAGAATTGTTTGAACCACAACATGATTTGCAGTTTGTTTGTTTTTTTCTGTGCTAATAGCTACGTATGGGAATACACACAGAAAGAAAGGGAGAACAATGTTACACACAGCCTGGCAATATAGGAAAAGAAAGTGCAAGTCATAGCATAAAGACATTGTGTTTGAATGCAGAAAAGAAATACATGCAAGATGCAGTCATAGTAGCTGTGATTGTTCCCAACCAGAGGCCAAAGGAGATAATTTTGCACATTTCTAAGTCTGACTCCTGTTCTATAAACATCATGGTTTTGATGGCAATTCTGTGTGCCAGAATGTATGACACTTGACACATCCAGCAATTTTTAGAAGAGTGTAGTTGAGCAGTCAAAAAGCTTGAAATGTAACCTCCTACTTGTCGATAATTATAGCTTTGGTCTCCATGGAGCTATGCAGCATGCTGCTTTTATGATCACAGTATATTTTGCAAGATTCAAGAGTTGGCTTTCAGCTGTTTTTGCCAACTCATTTCTCTCTTGAGACAAACTTGCTGAAGAGAATGTAGCTACAAATCTCTCCAATATCACAGCTGGGATTTTCCTTGCTCTTGAAACCACTGGAAATATTTTATCTCTGATTTTATAATAATATTTTCTTCCTCTAGTGAGATAAAACTGGACAGTTGAAGACATTAAATAAATTTTCCATATACACAAATACATAAAGTCACATATAAAAACTTGCATAATGCTTATTTAAGAACATAAGAATACTCCTACTGGATCAGACCCAAGGCCCATCTTAGTTTAGCATTTTGTCTCCTATCTGGCCAACCAGATGCTTCTGGAGTATTTGCAAACTGAAGGTGTAGACATATCCTTCTCCTAATGGCTGATACATGTGGAGAAAAGATTGCACAGAAAATTATTTGTCATTCCTCAGGTAAGAATAAGATCCTAAAAAGAGAGATGGTTGACCATATTTGACATAGTGTTGATATTGTTAGATGCCCATCTTTAGGCAAAACTACTTGCATTTGCATTGAAGATTCAGCATAACATTGCAGATATAAAAAACAATTGAAAAAGGAGCCTTGCAGTGCGCAAGGGCACAAAGAATGTACCTCTCTTCAAATTGTTAACGCAGCCACCTCTTTGCAAGGCTTGCACATCTGTTTCAGAAGCTACTTCCAGCTGTTTGCATGCATGTACAAAGTTGTTATGTTTGCACACACATGAAGCAATGGCTCTGCACTCACATACATGTGAAGGCAGTGGGAAAACATTTCCAAAGTAACTTCCTAAACCTTGCAAAAAATGGAGTTGCTGTAAGTTTGATGAGAGATGCCTCATTCACATTCCCACGTGCTATGTAGCCCTTCTGAATGACCTGCTCAGCCTGAGAGCATAATGAGCCTTCTTGTCTGTGAGAAATAGAATCACAGCGAATCAAGGCACTTGTATTTTCTCAGAAGAGAAGGAAAATCTTCTATTCATATAGGAAAAAGGGTGCTGACCTTCTGCTTAGAAAAAAACATAATCACTAGTCACGTGTAATTCAGGGTAATGGGTTTTAGTTTTTGCCTTTCACGTTTAACAAAGCTTAACCTCTTAAAAATGTATGCATTGTAAACAGGATACCCATAAGGGTTTTCAAAGTATGTACCCAGACAAATGGAGGATACAGGAAGTCCTTGTTTAATGACTGCTTTGTACATTGATCGTTCAAAGTTATGACGGTGATGAAAAAGTAATTCTCGCGTTTGTCCTTATGGTCCAAATGAACTTAAATCTGTGTGTCGTGTGCTTCTATATTGTTTGTTTTATAAGACTTTTGTTCTTCCATTATAATGGAAGGGAGTCCCAGGTAAAGAAGTTGAATTGTATGTGAGTTATATTTTTTCAGACCAGTATAAGAATATCTCCAACAGTGTAGCTAAATCTTGGACTACAGCTTTTTCTGGGTAGTTTTAAATATATTTTGTTTTAGAAGGCTAAATAATTTAAAAGACCTTTTCAGCTGTCTTGTTGATGTAAATGTTTGTTGAATATTTGAGCCAACCATACTTTGGGGTTACTTAAGGACTTAGTTGTGTGGGCAAGAAGCCCACATAGGAACATAAGAAGACCTCCGCTGGGTCAGATGATGGGCCCATTTAGTTCACTGTTCTGTTACACAGTGACAGCTTGACCAGAGGGCAGTAGCCTCTTCTATGGGCTTCTGAACAACCAATGTTTAAGACAATGATTCAGGAGCTAATCCAGGGTCACCAGTATTAGTCATCAAAAGCCTGATTCTTCATGAATCTGTTGATTTCCTTTTAAAACTAGCCAAATGGGCTTCAAGTCCTGCAGTTGCTGGAAGCAAATTCCACAGTTTAATTATGTACTGTTTGGGGGGAAAAAAAACTTTTTGGTCCTCAATTCCCTATATTTATTACTTTATTCACCATTTTGAACTTTTTGGAGAAAGGTGCTATATAAATGTACTGGTATAAATGTAAAATGTGAGGTTGTTAAGTAGTCTCAGTCTTATTTTTCATTTCCAGAATATAAAAGAGTACGTGGATAACAGAAATAGAAGTCGAGTGTTTTCATATTGCTGTGCATTCCCAAGTCCTGCTTTGGGTTGTCTATACAGGACAGTTCAGTTTCACCAAAAACATTACAATGCTTGGATTTAAAATAAATGGGTTTTTAAAATTATTTTTCAGCAAATACTGTACTGTGAAGTTAATGGGTGGAGCATTATCTGCTTCGTACATCTGCCCCTTTTTTCTTTTGCGCATAGATACAGGATCAGTAAGAATATATATGTAGGTATGGACTTTTTATTTCTTAGTCTCTCTTACCTTGCAAAATACCGTGCCTTTAGTTCAAGCAGAGGGCAAAGGCATGCCATTTCTTCAAACCTGCTGTAGAACAACTGTGAAATCTTTAACAAAGCTGTATAGGGAGTCTAGTTCTTGGTTACCTGTGAGCAATGTAACAGTGGCTAAATTATAAAGTATGTCAGTTGCATACGAAGTGACATCCCTGGCGAGGAGCTTTTATTTCCACCCACGTGTGTCAGTCACCTGGGTCATCAATCCTTATGTCTGGTCCTGGGGCAAACTCCACTGTTTTCAGTCATTTAGATCCTGGTTTTTTAAACTGATAGATTTATATACTGTGAGAGTCAGACCCTCTGCAACTGAGGAATATGCTAAATCTAAGCACCAATTGCCTCCTGATTAACCGGATGGAAAGAAATGGGTGTATTACTGGATTAATTGATGTCCTTCCACTGGAAGGTGATCTTAAAGTTTTCCAATAGCTGACATATATCTAATGTTGATTCAAGTGTTTGGTTTGTTCTATTTATATACTGCCATTGTTCCAAGAGCTCAAGGTGGATTACATGGGGACTTCCCATCATCTTATCCCAACAATAACTCTGAGAAATAGGATGGACTGAGAGAGAGTGGCTGGCTAGAAAGTTTTTGTGGCCAAGGATGAATTTGAACCTGGATTTCCCCTGTCCTAGGCCAATACCTTAACCCACAACACTGCCTCTCCTTTGTAATTACATTAATTACTTGTAATGAGGGATGTGGGTAATGAAAGAGATCAGGAAGTTGTTGAAACAAAATAGTTGGGGGGGAGCTTCTTTTCCTTCTCGTGGTCAGACAAGCCATTTGGAGAAGAATTAAGGATAACTTTCTTTTTTATATACATGTGTGTGTGTTCATATTTTTATTTAAGTATGGCTTTCAGATGGTAGCAAAGGGGAAAATATGCACATGTGCATCATTAGTGACCATTTTTTGTCTTTCTCTTTCAGTGAGTATGTTTTTGAACACATTAACACCCAAATTCTACGTTGCCTTAACAGGCACTTCCTCGTTAATCTCAGGGCTTATTTTGGTAAGTACTAGATGTATTTTTTAAATATTTTACAGCCTTAGTTCTATAATGCATTGGATTCTACAGCTACACATTTTTTTGCTCTTTTTTCCTTCAAGTTACCATATCTATGTATGTTGTAGAATTTGTGTTAGTCACAAGTTAAGTCTGAGCATTGACTTGTTCTGTGGAGCAAGTTTCCTAGAATACATACTGCAGAAATCATACACTTGTCAATTAGGATAGAATGAAACCAGTTCAAAGTACACTCTGTATTATATCAACTTCCTGGCCATGAAACTGTACACATACATATAAAAACAAAGAATCTAATGGCACCTTAAAGAGAAATACATTTGTTATTGCATAAATTTTCATGGATCATTGGCCACTTTATTAGATGTATACATGATACCTAATATACAATCTACACTCCAACTGTGTCACTCCAAAAGGAACAACTAAGTGTAAATTCAGACAGGTAAGTCCAGTGATTAGTTGTTCAAAACAGAGAGAACAAAGAAACATGTGAAAATCATCCATTTTAGCAATGAGTTGAATGAACAGCTCTTGTGTATCTTCTCAGAAGAATATAAGATAGCCCATGGGCACAGAAGTGCCACACTTGAGTAACAACTGTAAGCTAGCTGGCAGCCAAGAGATTCTGTCAAGCCTCAAGAAGGTACCACTTGAACAGAAGTCCCCTTATTCAGGTGGGATTAGGCATTGCTAAATAACAGCTTCCATAAATGTGTATAATACATTTATGGCATCAATAGTTGTTAAGATTTAATACACATTTACACATACCTCACTGATGTTCTGATTTATAATTAAATTCATTATGTCTAGGGCCTTTTGTATAGCAAAACCCCAAATCAGAATTTAAAATTCTGTTAATATGCATAAATACAGATAATAGTTTATCAATAGTGTAATCCTAAATACACTGTCTTAAAAGTAAGGCCCTTTTAGTTCTAGGGGACTTACTTCTAGAGAAGAATTTTTTCTGTGCAAAATTTCACAAAACCTACAGTTATATTATCTCATGTGCCATTTGCTATTATTTTCATAGAATGATCTAAGTGCTTGAAATTGTGCTAAATTTTAAATTAACATCATTTATTTCCTGAGATAATTTGTTGTTTGGAGAATAATATAAATGGCCTACAGCTTCCGTTTAATTTGCTTAATACCAAGAATGGCTCTCTTATTTTGGTATATGAAACTTAACATCCCTTTCTGCCTCTCTTCAATAATATAATAACAATGAAATAACAAACAGCTTACTGTCTTTTCATGGTATTCAAAGTCAGCTGTCTCAAGCCCTTGCCTTACTCAGTCTAAGAATAGGTCCATTTCTTTTTCCATCAAAAAGTTCACTTTATGCTGTTCTCATTTAATAATAATGCATAATAACTATTAAGAAATATTGATAATTGCCAGTTTATTTTAGTCTTTAATTTTCTTTGCTATCAGAAAGGAAGTGGACTTTGTGACCTGTTCTGCTGTTTATTAAAATATTCCTTTATCAAACTATATAAAACCTTAATATTTTTTTAGGGCTGTGCAAAAATTCAGTTTGAAGGTTTGGATAAAATGCAATTTGATTTACTTTCCAAATCAAATAGGAAAATTTAATTAGAAAATTGGATACTCCAAATCAATTCTGATCCTTTTGCACATGCATAGAAATGACTTTATGAATCTGTTTGGAAATCTCAATCAAATTACCCTATTAAGTAATTCAGTTCATATGCCTGAATCAAATCAAATCACAGACTGATTTTAATTGGATTGATTTTCTAAATCAAATCAACATTTCACTTGATCTGAATAGGTCTGTTATTTTATTTTTTTTGAAAAGTGAACTCAGCTTTCATCAAATACAACAGCTTTCACCCTATAGTGCTGTTAATCTTTTTATATGATTTCTTCTCTTATAAACATATACAATGCATTTGGAAAGTATTCAGAACCCCTTCACTTTTTTCAATTTTGTTATGTTGCAGCCTGATACTACAA